TCCAGTAGGCCGTGCCTGTGCTGCTTGGTGGTGTGATGTTAAGCGCACGGTGCAGGTAGGCAGGATAGAGGGGGGAGATCGTGATGTGTGGAGCTAAGATGGGTATGGGAGAGACGAGAGAGGAACAGGAGCCAAAAACATACAAACAACCAAAAAAGAGTGCTAGGGGAGCTTGCTATTGGAGTGGAGAGATGAGAGACTATGAAATGGAGAAAAACAAAAAGGGAAAGAAGAAGAAGAAAAAGAAAAAGAATGAATAAATAAAAATTAGAAAGAAAAAAGAACAGCAATGCTCCCACGGATCCCACCAGTGGCGGCTACAAGGTCTGGGGAAGTTGTTCCCAGGTGTTGAAGTACAGCCTGGCTAGGAGGCATAGAGGTATTCAGTGCCAGGTATTCAGGGGACAGGAAGAGAAGGAAGGTAGAGAGAGACAAGAAACAGTTGTTCTGTCTCTTGCTAGAAGCTCCGTGAAGCTGCTTTCTCGTACCCCCTATTTGCCGGTCTCTGATAGGAGTCCAAGGTGGCAGATCCATGCTGTATTAACTGTTAGGGGACCTCTCCATGTATGTCTCCTCGCTCTCTGTTCTCTGTCAGTTTCTTATTCCATTTGGTGGTTGGCTGAGTTCTTTATCTCTTCATTTGATGTGTAGGGTGTCGGGATTGCTGTTTTCTCTGTTTGGCTTAGTTTTTCGGATCTTTGCTGTGGAAGGATGGCGTGGTGCTTCTGCCTAGAGCACCATGTTGTCGGAAGTGGTGTCTTCTCTTTTTACTAGGCTGTTGCACATTAGCAGTGAAAACCAGGTCTTCCCTCGGTAAAAGTATTCAGCTCATCCTCAGCTTCTCACATCCCTGCCTTTGCTTTCCTTCAGGGGTCCTTCCTCTCCTTCCCACCCTACTACCAGAGTCAAGTTCCCATTTCCCAGTAAGAGCCTGCTCTGATATTTTTTATTCCCACTGAGGGACAATTTGTAGGCAACAGTTGAAGGTACCCTTTCCAGGTATAGTCATTTATTAACAGAGCTCAAAGCCTTAAAGTAAAGGATAACCAGAGTTTCACCCACCATATCGAGAGGCGTTTAGGAGCCTCTCTGCTGCTTCCGGACACACACCATGTCAACAGATGCCTGACAGCCCAGTGGAGAGGGCCCACAAAGTTCACGAGTTATCATCAGCTGTTTCTCAGTCTGTCCTCCTTTAATTAAAATAATTAGAACCTCGTCACTAATGGTGAGACTGCCTAACTGTCCAAGAGGGTTAGTACTGAAGTGCTCAAAGAACCCTTTTATAAGGTCCCACAGAATGGACCAAAAAATGTTGCTAAGCCCCTTTAACTATTTTTTAGAGGTAATGGCTAATTTGGGACTCTTTATGGCATGTTAGGTCACTCCAAATCCTAAAGTATCCAGTGTGTCATTCAGAAGGAGATCCCTGAATTCAGCTTAAAGCATTTGCATCCTATCTGGTAGAGTCTTTTCGCGATGCTGATAATTTTCTTGGCCCAGAAGTTGTTGCCTTCAGAAGGAAGGTATGAAGAACAGTACCCATTTTGAAACCAGCTAGACCCTATCTAGCCTGAGTCTCCTGGTTGGGCTAAAGATGACAGTGCCATTTCAGCCATGGTTAGGAATTCCTGAGTTTTAGAAACAGGTCAGTGCTTTAGTTTTCCCTCAAAACGTCTGAGCTTATACTTCCATGTTTTCCATCTCTTCTTGATATTAGAGGTATTAAAGAACTCCAGTTATCATTTGAAATGCAGCAGACACGTGTGCTCTAATGACTTCTGCAGGTGGTTTGGGCTATATGAGAGAACCTAGTCTTGATCTTAAGCTGTCATCTGGATTCTGAGTTAATCCAGGAAAGCAGTAAAAATTAGTAATGTGTATTGCATGTCTCTGATACATATGTTTTCCATTATTTGCTCTTCTGTGCCCCAACACATGCGTGCACACACGATCCTTCAGTTTTCCTGAAATGGAGAGAGTCCGTGGTTCCAAAAGGAAATGGCTAGCATGGCACCTTGAAACCTGAACTCTGTCCCATGTTCTGAATGAAATGACTCCAAACACATTAGCAGGTTGCCTTTCTTGTATCTCCTACTTTTTTGAAAACACATGAGAGAAAAAAATAGCTAAACTTGTAGGCATTCAGATTTAATTCTCTAAAATAAGCAAGTGATTTGGTAGCAATTGCAGAGGGGCAGGACTTGTAACATTAAAGTTTCCACAGCTGTGGTCTTAAAGAATAGGTAGAGTTAGTAAATATACAGCAGCAACCAGCTGTTCTTCATCTCCAGTAAGGCTAGAAAAGAAGGAAATAGCTTCAATTGTATTAGAAGAGATTTACAAAACTTGTAATGGGAAATTTATCATCAGTGGAATCTATTTTAAACATTGGAACAGATAACTGGCCAGTAGAAGTGGAGGAATTATATCTTCCATTGGCTTTAAAATAGACTACAGGCAGTCTCCGAGGTACAAACAAGATCCACTCTTAAGTCTTTCTTTAAGTCAAATTTGTAGGTAAGTCGGAACAGGTACATACGGTTCTTTTTTAGCATCAGTTAGTCAAATGTTTGTCTTAGTATATAGTATATATTTTACCTTTCTATGCATATAAAATACTTAAGAAACACTTCCAAACCGTGCAAGGTTTTCATGAGTGTCACAAAATAGTGTGTGTGTTCGTTATTAGGTTTTATGGCAGTCCGTTCTAAGTGCAAGTTGCCCGTAAGTTGGATATTCGTAACCCGGGGATGGCCTGTATATCATCTACTCAGGGTACTTAAAGTTGATGGGTTGTTACATCTGTCTAGTATTTCTTAACATTTTGGGAGTCACAGACCCCACTGAGAATCTGATGAACCCTCTCTCCAGGAAAATGCACACACAAATAAAAGTTGGCATACAATTTGGGGGGGACTTAGGGACTTCCTAAAGCCGATAAATTAGACCCTAAGTTAAGACACCCTGGGCCAGATGATCTCCAGAAGTGTTTCCTAGTCTCATAAGTGACAAGCTCTATGGTTCAGTTTTCCCAAATATAACAAAGGAATCTAAAGATCAAATATCAAACTTTCAGTTTTCTTTCTCTTGATTTACAATGTTTGGCATGCACAGTGTCGAAGTAAAAGAAAGGATAGTGGAGTAGAAAGAATTCTACTTTTACATCCAGATATTTGTCTCGAGAAGCCAAGTGTTCACTTTTAAAACCACTGGTTGGCTCTGTCTCATCTTCATAACAAGGCCGGGCCTTTGCCGGCAGCCACTCTTTCCCGTCCCCACACGCAGCTCCAGATTCATAGATGAAAGTGCAAACTGGAACGCCACGTTGGCTACCCAGCATTCTTCCAATTCACACACTATTGCTGTGATTGTTCAGCTGGGTTTGAAAAGCATTGTTTATAATCATCTCATCAATTTTATGCCCAAATTTCATTAATTACAAGTTGGAAAATGACCACCCAGATTTACAAATCAGAGAATAAGTTGGCTCTTTCCCTAAAATAAAGAGCTTTCACCTTCTTAGGGAGTAGGAATAGAACGTAGTATGTGTCTGTATGGAATCCCTGGTTAGCACTCAGCTGCTGACTAAAAGGTTGGGGGTTCACGTCTACCCAGAGGTGCCTCAGAAGAAAGGTCTGGCGATCTACTCCCGAAAAATCAGCCATTGAAAACCCTATAGAGCACAGTCCTACTCTGACACACCGTGAGTCAGAATCAACTCCATGGCAACTGGTTTTATATTTTAAACTCATGATAATGAGTTAACCTCGTATGTGTTTAGCATGACTCTGTAATTTTCTTGTTCCCTTCTGAAAATAGCCCCTAGTTTACCTGTAAGTCTTATGTTCTTGTGTGCCGTCAAGTTGATTCCAACTCATAGTGACCCTACAGCACTCCATTTAATCCCAAATTGGAAACGTACTTGTCTCTTTGTGCCTAGAATCAGGAACTGTGGAATTAGAGATTACTGTAATGTGGAAGGGAAGTAATAGTATCTCTGGGAAAGAGTATAATTGTCAAAAGAGTATAACTTGTTGTCAGTCTTTTAACAGCACCTTACCCTCCTAAGGCAAACCCTTCAATTCATAGTCGGTAGTCTCTTAATGAACTTAGAAATACTAACAATGAATAGGAGGCAGGCAGTCTTGGCCAAGGGATCCTTAGCACTCACATGGTGTGTTGATCCCTTTTTGACACTTGTTCCTTCCCATTGTTGAAGGGGAAGAGCAGAGGTCATGTATTCTCTCTTCTCCTCCCTAGTAAAATCCTCTTGTGTCCCATTTGCCCCAAGCATGTGATATACTGCATGGAAAGTTTGTGAGACAGATAATGTCTATGAACAGATACTCTGATACTGACTCTGGCAGTGGTTTTCGCTGGTCTTGAGCCAGTGAAGGTTGTTTGGGAACTAGAATGGAGGAGAGGACAGGCCATCCCAGCACCCGGCCCAGCTGTGGCTCTGCATAGTGACTGATGAAGTCCCTCTGCACCCATTAAAGCATATTGACAGTCCACACCCCTGAAGCTCATTATGTCCTTCTGGGTTGAAGTTAATGGCAGAGATATACATTCTTCTGAATACTTATTCTTTGTGTATTTTCCTCTCTGCAGAGAACGTGATCAATGGGCAGGATTATGAAGTAATGATGCAGATTGATTGTCAAGTGATGGACACCAGGATCCTCCACATTAAAAGCTCGTCGGTTCCTCCTTACCTCCGAGATCAGCAGAGGAATCAAACCAACACCTTCTTTGGTTCCCCTCCAGCGGCCCCAGAGGCAACCCACGTGGTCAGCACCATCCCTGAGTCTTTACAATAGTAGTGGGCTACATTGGAAAACTAAGAGGGAGACCCCACCCAACTGGAGCACAGGTGGGAGAAATGCATCTTTCTGCCTTCTCGGTGACAAGCAGAGAACTACCTAGTAATAGAATTTACGGGGTAGAAAGAGAAAAAAAAAAGTTGTTTTGTTTTTCACCATCTACCCGTCTACTTGGAAGACACTGGAATTCAGACGCAAGTGAACAGCATTTCTCCAGTGGCAAACTCAGCCCTGCCTCTTCCTGTGTTACCTGGTGAAAATTTTTTTTCTGTACCTTTGTAAGCTGCTTATCCCTTGTATTTGTTATTTGTTTAAATTGTCATCTTCTTTCAGATAAGTTCGACTGCCCCTCTTTACCATTTCACTTACTGATAAAGTGGTTTTTATTTAAAGCTCTATAGTACTTGAGTGCTCAGATGTTTCCACTGACTGGATTGTTTTATTCATTTAATGCAAACCCATTCTGTGTTCATTGAGAAAACAAGTTTCAAAACCAGAGCAGCCAAAAAAGCACCCCAAAAAGAGTCAAAACAAATTGGAGCTTTAGGTAAAAGGGAAAATCCCCAATTGGTAAAGTTGACCTGTACTTGGGATTGGTGGTTCACACCTCATACTGCTGACACTGCACACAAACAAGTGCGTTGGGGGAACGGGGACGAGTAGCAAATGTGAGAGAATGAAATGGAAGGAAAGGGTTAGTGGTGGGGTTTTGAAAGAGGAGATAGCTCCGTTAATACATGTGTTTAAAGCACTGAAAGTATGAGTTTGGATTGCGATTTAAGATTTAAGCCACGAAACCATTGCCGTCGAGTCGATTCCGACTCATAGCGAACCTATAAGACAGAGTAGAACTGCCCCAGAGGGTTTCCAAGGAGCACCTGGTGGATTTGAGCTGCCCACCTTTTGCTTAGCAGCTGAGGTCTTAACCACTGGGCCACCAGGGCAACTGTTAATTTTGAGAACTCTAGGCCCCCAAGTATGAGTACTGTACATACTTACATCTTCTCTTTACTCACACGGTGTAGATCCTTGAGGACCACAGGACAAATCCTTCATTTTAATTGTGAGCCCCACCCCACTACACACCTTCTGTTCGTAAGATGATACCCAGCTCAGCTAAGGAACATGGAGAGAACTTCAGACTCAGCAAGGCAAGAGCTTTTCCTTTTGAGGATACACAAGTATTTATTCCTTAAGAGTATGCAGGCAGGCAAGCTTGGATTTCTGCTGAGAGGGCGCAGCCTCTAACGTGGCCAAAATTTTCAGTTTCTCCAGTGAATAGACAGTGAAGACTTAACTCTTCTGTCCTCCCATGTTAAAAAACAACTACCATGTTTACTTACATTTTACTATACTTTGCCTGCTTTTTTCTTCAGAGTAGACCAAGCATGTTTAGTTTGGTGAACTCATAGAAATGGATCCCAGGCAGTGTTGTCCTCTCTGATGTTCTAGCTTCAAATTCTAAAGCGAGTCTTCTGTCTCCTTTCACAAAGCTTTTCAATTTCTTGTCAGACCTCATTCTGAGAACACTGCTTCCTACCCTAATTGACTTGCCTTTGCCAGATTCCTTCACCTCCCATTCCACCCTATCTCAGTCCATTCCTCTTCCTCCTTGCAAGGAAAGGAAAGTGAAATTGTATCAACCTCTCAAGGGTTACATGTAGCCAGTTAGTTTTCTGCTTGTGAAATTAGGCCTGGCTTGTGAATAATTTTGAAGACTCTCCGATACTTCTGACTCTCTGGACAGGGATGCCTCTCTGTGGAATCTAGTGACGCTTTCCAGGGAGATCAATTTAACTTTTGTGAGGGGAAAAAGCATGGGGGGAGACGGGGGAGCTCCATTTCCTGGTATTCTGTAGTTTGAGAAGTGTTAATTAGCCTTCCTCTTTGTCCACACGTACAAACAGTTTTTAAGTCAGTGCCGCTCTCCCCTCTGATTTGGCTCTCATGGGTGATCTCAGACAAGAGCCAGCAAGAACCATTTTCCCTGAGGACCACTCTTACTGCTTGATGGCCACCAAGGAATACAAGGCAGATGCCTAGAAGAACTTAGGTTAGAGGGAATACCTTCTTCTGGCCCTGCTCCTTCTCGTTCTGTCGTGTGAATTAGCCAAACGAGACCCTGTGACCGTGGCTAGTAGGCATTGGCAACTTGGTTGTCCCATACTGCTAATCTTCTGCTGGGACTGTCCTAGTACAGGCAGTCCCCAGTTTGGGTTTTGGTTTTGGTACCTTACCCATTGCCTTCAAGTCGCTTCCAACTCATAGCGACCCTATAGGACAGAGTAGAACTTTCCCCATGGGGTTTCCAAGGAGCAGCTCGTGGATTCGAACTGTCAACCTTTTGATGAGCAGCCGAGCCCTTAACCACTGTGCCACCAAGGCTCCATATACATATGCACCAGGACTGTATATGCATACAAAGGTAAAACACATAGACTTACCTACAAATTCGACTTAAAGACAGCCTTAGGAACAGATCTCATTTGGAACTGGGGACTGCCTGTAGATACAAACACAGTATACATGGAGTGATCATAAGTAGAGAGGCCCTTCTCTCCTTTGCACTGAATCACACAAGAACTCATTACATGGACTTCTTGTTTTTAGCACTTCACTTTTACTTTATCCCTCCATTCCTAGCTTTTCCTGTGGCTATTTTACCAATTCATCAGATTGATGACTTAAATTATGTCCTGTTAACCCCACTCACTGCCCTTGAGTTGATTCCGACTCCTAGCGACCCTATAGGACAGAGGAGAACTGCCCCCACAGGGTTTCCAAGCCTGTAATCTTTACAGAAGCAGATTGCCACATCCTCCCAAGGAGCCGCTGGTGAGTTCGAACCCCCAACCTTTCAGTTAGCAGTCAATCACTTTAACCACTGCACCACCAGGGCTCCTTTATGTCATGTTAGCCAAACTTAATGCCTCTTTGACAGGTGAAATGGTTGATGGTTAGGAAGGAGTCACAGCCAAAGAGCAGGCAGATTCTAGAACGGCCCAGCGGTGGAGTTAAGGAGTTAAGGCTAGCTGTGAAGTGGCGAGCAAAGCAGCATGCGAGCATCGCCTCCTCTCCTCGCTGTCTGATCCTTCAGCTCGCTGTCATTAGCTTTCCTGAAGTGATCTTTCTGGAGGAGGGAATGGGATTCCTCCTGGGATAAAGTGTCAGGAAATAAGTGAAAGGCAACTGACAAGTGCAAAGTATTCTGTTTTTTTAAGTTGCTATCAAAACTATTATTAATCCCTTGGCACAAGAATAAATTTTTATTGTCATATTTGCTGTTTGCATGCCTAGCACAAGGCCTTTAGGTAATGGAAAGTTGCTGTGCCAGATTAATAAATTAAGCTTGCCTTTTCTCTCAATTTTTTTGGGCAGGATTGCCTTTTGGGGTTGCAGCTGGGAGATTGGGAGGGTATATACATATATATATATATATTTAATTTATTACATTTTTAAGTGGGATTTTGCATGCTTGCGAGAAAATTGGAAACCCTGGTGGCATAGTGGTTTAGTGCTACAGCTGCTAACCAAAAAGTGTGCAGTTTGAATCCACCAGGCGCTCCTTGGAAACTCTGTGGGGCAGCTCTGTTCTGTCCTGTAGGGTTGCTATGAGTTGGAATTGACCCAATGGCAACGGGTTTGTTTTTTTATTTTGGGGTGAGAAAATTAGATAAACTCCTGGAGGAGGCAGCCTGCCTGTTATTAGATGGCCGAGTACTCTATGCGCTGACCATTGTGTAGCATTCTATCCTGTTGGGAGGTTATGGTAGAGACTGATGGAAACGGGTTTTCTGCCTGGTTTCAAGTCTCCTTTAGCCTTAATGTAAGTGAATGGACGCTTCTTCGTGCTAACTACCAAGTGACATGTTCGGAGCTTCTTCCCCTTGGGGGTTAATGCCTCCTGTCTGCATCCCAGCAGTACAGGGACCCAGCAAGGCCTCCTTCCAAAGTTAGGAGTTTGCAAAAGGATCGATCTTGGAACAAATGTATCATTTGCCACCCTTGTAGTGTAGAAACTTTAGACTATTGGGTGGAGTTTGTGTTTTCACAAGTAAAAAAAAATCCCTCCTGATTATAAAAGCTCAAAACATCTTCTAATTTTTTTTTTTTAAGCTTTAGCTCAAAGCTGGCATTTCTTTGCCTTTTCTTGTTAAGCAAGTAAACATGGAGGTATTTGAAGGCAGTAATGTCACATGAGTCATTCTTGCATGCTCTGAATAAACATCACTTAGAAACAGACAAGGAATTTGGGACTTAAACTGATTTTCCTATCATTTTTTTGAAGAGACACTGTCCTGATTAACGGAAACCCCGGTGGTGTAGTGGTTAAGTGCTGCGGCCGCTAACCAAAAGTCGGCAGCTCATATCCACCAGGCGCCCCTTGGAAACCCTATGCAGCAGTTCTACTCTGTCGTATAGGGTCGCTATGAGTCGGAATCGACTCAGTGGCAGCGGGTTTGGTTTTTTGGTTTTTGTCCTGATTAAACTTTCTTGGCCTGATTCTTCCTCCTGGGCATGTATCGCCAGCAGTCCCAGCAGTGAGAATCGGACAAGCCCTGCTGCTGTGACATTTAGAGTGAATAAAACAAGAACTACGAGGCTGCCTGCAACTTTCAGACTTTTTTGTGATTCTTGCCATTTTCCTCAACTCAGGTTGAGAAACAACAGAAACGTCACAGAAAATAAATTTGTATCTGACTTTCACAACCTGGAAAGCCAGAGTAAGATGGGATGCCCCCTTCAGCCTGACCTCATGGAAGTTTTCCATCGATGAAAGCCCTCTTTCCACTGCATGTTGACAGGCTGACTCAGTTTCCGTCAGTGGGCTTGTACGAACTGAACTTCAAATGAGACTTTCCATACCATTGGTTATTTCATACTAATTTACCTCTCTCTCACTAAACCCAAAAAAAATTTAAAAAAAAACAAACCCGTGGCTGTCAAGTCTATTCTGACTCATAGCGACCCTATAGGACAGGGTAGAACTGCCTCATAGGGTTTCCAAGGAGCGCCTGGTGGATTCGAACTGCCAACCTTTTGGTTAGCGGCCATAGCTCTTAACCACTATGCCACCAGGGTTTCCCCTCTCTCTCTCTGTCTCTCTCTGTGTGTGTCTCTCTCTCTGTCTCTCTGTCTCTCTCTGTCTCTCTCTCTCTCACTGCTTCTTGCAAAGTTGAGAGAAGCTTATTGCCATCCATGGATTCCTTATTCCTTACCAAAATGATATTTTCCTCAATCCTGAGTCATTAAATGTACAGAAATTTAGGATCGTTGCTACTAATGTGAATACAAAGTATAACTTATTTTAAAAATAAGAATAAAGCCTAAAAGAATGAAGTGTAAGATATTTTCATTCCTATCCCTAATATCGTCTTTGGAAGGGGGGAATTCCCATGTTTTTTGTTTTGTTTTGTTTTTCTCCAGAAGTGGAGAAGTTGCAATTGATTTTTAATTCTCTCAGAAACAAAATACTGAACTACGCAAAAAAGATGTTGCTGGAGTCCAAAAGAACACTATGCACATAAAGAAATGCAGCTGTCTCTTGCCTGGAAAAAGAAATCAAGAATATATACTGTTAGCTTATATTTTAAAGCTTAAATCAAAGTTTATTTTGGATAAGACTAGGATTTCCAGCTGTTTGTTCTAATACCTGTGTTATCTGTCAGGTGCATTAGAATTATGGAAAGAAGACAAAGGTATCTGGTGTGGAAATCTGATCCTATGTATGAATCATGTCATGGCTAACCACTGTCACATAGTGGACACCATTCTCAACCGGTTTACTAACTTCAAGCATTAGGGATTCAACACATTAAAAGACTTCATTATATCAGTAGGCTTGGGACCAGAAAACCAAACCCTTTGCTATCGAGTTGATTCCAACTCATAGCGACCCTGTAGGACAGTGTAGAACTCCCCCATAGGGTTTCCAGGGAATGGCTGGTGGTTTGGAACTGCTGACCTTTTGGTTAGGAGCCAGGCTCTTAACCACTGCTCCACAAGGGTTCCAAGGCTTGGGAACCAAGGAGTAAATACATCATAGTTTATCATTTGCCAAGATCCACAAACACCATACCCTTGTGAAGTTTGTCAGCATTAGTTAAATAAACAAACCGGGAGACTTGGCATTCCACCCAGTATGCTAATCCCAGATTGAGATTAGTGGGTTGGTTTTCATAGCAAATGTGTATTAGGCCATTTTAACTCACACTCAGCCCTGATTTCCAGGTCAGTCACCTGGATGGAGATGTTCTCTCTAAATGAGATCTTTAAATGAAAACTACTGTGCACTGCTGGCCTTAGAGATGTTACTTTCTTGTTCTCATGATGTTGGCAAGTAGGGTTGGGCTCAGACCAACAGTGCTTCAGCCACGGAGCCGGAGCCAAGGGAACCTGAGGAGATTAGGGTCTTAGAGGTACCATCTCACCAGGATTTGCTCTCTAAGGTTGTATTCATTCTCAATTAAGAATGTGTTAAGGATGCAGAGGAAAGATGTACCACTCTCTCCTTTAGTATTTATGTTGGCTTGAAATACATAAGGAAATGATGACAACAGACAATTGTATCCTTTCAAGCAAATCTTTATAATGCAATACCTGTTCTTTGTCTAAAAATCAAATAAAGAATTTTTAAACTTGCCTTGTTTTGCTGTATATATAGAAAGAAAGAAAAATGTACCACAATGAATCTTCACCATTAACTCATTAGTAATGGGAAGGAAAGCCTGAAATTGTTTTGTGGCCTGTTACCATGTAGATGAAACTATTGAACTCTTTCTGCTCTTTCCTCCAGCCTGGTTAAGTAAAGACTTCCTATATTGCATCAAGATATTTGAGCTACAGTCTTATTAAGGAAAAAAAAAGTCTGAAAACCCATACTTTGTTCTACGTCAGGAAATTGGGTTACTCAGTCATGCATCCAGTCTCACCAAAGGCCTCTTCCCAGCTTGGAATGGCAAATTCATCATGCATGAAGCCTGTCATTGCAGGCTGACAGCAAGGGGGCCATCCAGGAGTAATTAATGAAGGCATTTCCTGAGCACCTAGTGTATGCCTCACACACTGGTTTAAGTGCATTACCTGTATTATTTAAATCCTCCCTGTAACCGTTTTCCTAAGTGGCTACATAGCTACACAGTAAGTAGTATGGGTGCAGTGGTGGTTCAGTGGTAGCATTTCTGCCTTGCATATGGGAGACCCGGGTTCAATTCCTGGCCAACGTACCTCACACACGCCACCACCTGTCAGTCAGTGGAGGCTTGCATGTTAGTATGATGCTGAACAGGTTTCAGCGGAGCTTCTAGACTAAGATGGACTGGGAAGAAAGGCCTGGTAATCCACTTCCCACAATTAGTCAGTGAAAACCCTATGGATCACAATGGTCCAATTCCCAGCTGATCACGGGGATGGAACAGGACCAGTCAGCTTTTTGTTCGGTTGTACTTGGGGTCACCATGAGTCAGGCAATTTAGCTTCAGCACATGGATTCTTTTTTTAAACTGTGGTAAGTATATACGTATATAACAAAACATTTGCTATTTCAGTATTTTTTTACATATACAATTCAGTGACATTCATTACATTCATCATGTGTGCAACTGTTGCTGCTATTAGTTTCCAAATTTTTCCATCGCCCTTAACAGAAACTCAGTGTCCCCAAGCAATGACTCCCTGTTGCCCCCTCCCTCTTGCCCCCGGTAACCAGTAATAAACTTTGACCTTTATACATTTGCCTATTCTTTACATTTCATGTAAGTGGGAACACACAATATTTGTCCTTTTGTGAATAACTTACCCCACTCAGCATAATGTTTTCAAGGTTCATCATGTTGTAGCATGTATCAGGACTTCATTCTCTTTATGACTTAGTATTCCATTGTATATGTATGCCACATTTTGGTTATCCATTCTTCTGTTTATGAACATTTCGGTTGTTTCCACCTTTTGGCTATTGTGAAGACTAGCACATGGATTCTTAACTACTGTGTTGTTCTGCCTCCCAACGCATTGGTCCACGTAAGTCCCTACCCTACAGAAGCTCAGCCCTACTGAGCCAGGGACATAAATACATACGTAAGTATAAAATTACAGTAACATCACAGTTCTCTTAGCAAGACTGCATTTCTTTCAGAAAATAATAGACTTCTTTAGAAAGTGAGCCCCTCTCTTTTAGAAGGAGACCCCAGATAGTCTCTTCTCCAGAGAAAGTTAGCAGAGATTGGAGGGTGAGGCTTTGAACAGCAGAGAAGAGGAAGTTGGACTGAAGCCGTATGACTGGAGGCTGGAGCATCCAGAGAGGTGGCTCATGAGAAACCTAATTCCCTGGTGACAGGATAGCAAAAGGGTTTTTACAAGCTGGGATAAATGTGGTGCTAAAATGTAAATCCTCTCTGTTGTTCCAGATCTTCAGTAACAGCCTGCTGCACACATAGCTTTCTGTCAGTGTTATTTTGGGAAGTGAAGGAATGGGGACAGGTTCAGTGTGCTATAACTACTGAAGAAAAAAGCACACCAACCATACTGCAATGAAATTCATAAACTGAAGAGTCAGTGGAAGAAACAGAAATGAATAAAGGAAATATAACTTCCCCACCCTGTGCCACCAAATCCTTATGGGATTGTCCACCGGGACTTCCCTCTGTATATGGGATTCAGTTCAAGCCAATTTTTGAATCTCAAAGGATAACCACAGCCAACATTTGGGTTACACAGTACACAGTGCCATAAATGAAGGGCTGTTCTAGCATACGCTCTGCAATTTATGTAACTATTCCTCCTTTGTTAGAAATCTACATCACTTAAAATGTTTTGCTTACCATGGGAAGCATATTTCACTCCATCACATTCAAATGTTTTGTTTACCATAGGAAGCATATTTCACTCCATCTCATTAGTGAGATCCATACAACTGCCTGGAAAGAATCCTTCCGTTAGTTCAGTTGCCGATAATAGCTGATGTTTATTGAAGACCTAACTTCTGTTGGACATTGTGCTAAGCATGCTAAGCATTTACAAGCATTAGCTCATGTAAGCTCTACAGAAGTCTTATAATACAGATACCATTAACCACATGTTACAGATGACTAAATGGGCACGGAGAAATTTCGCCAAGATCTCAC